TTCATTGATTTTACCATACTTGGAGTATGGTGTTGAAAACTGGGGAAATACATACAAAAGCTCACTTCAACCATTGTATATATTACAAAAAAAGAGCGATAAGAATTGTGCATAAGATGGGGTACAGGGATCACACATGTAGCTTTCATACAGTCTAAATTGTTAAAATTGTTTGATTTAGTGGGATATCAGACTGCTGTGTTTATGTATAAAGCCAGGAACAATTTACTACCTTGTGGAATTCAGAAACTATTTAATGAAAGGGAAGGGGGATACAATTTAAGGGGTCAGTTAAATTTAAAAATTCATGCTATACGTACAACCAAAAAAAGATTTTGTATTTCCATAAGTGGGGTAAAACTATGGAATAATTTAAGTGTAGACATAAAAAATAGTAATAGAATTGATGAGTTTAAACATAAATATAAAGGTATGTGTCAATCAAGATATATGCAAGAACAGGTTTAATGATTAATTAGGTGGAACATTGTGGGTGTGGTGTATGAATGTTAACACTATGTAATAATTCTGTAATATATTACTTGTGTGGTGTAGAAGATAACAATTTAAGAATGTAATTATGTAAGAATGTTAACACTCTGTTATAATTCTTTAGTATATTACTTGTGTGGTGTAGAAGATAATTATCTATGTAGAGATACTGCTTGCAAACCAATGATGGTAAGATGATGTTATGGGGTAGGACTGGATAAGTCTGACTTCTTCCTACTCCATTCAAGCATGTACTAGGTATAAGCAAATTGTTATTGGATTAGCATTTGTTGGATATGTGTAAACCTATGTGTGTTGACATATCAACTGTCTTTACATGCTTGAAAGAATAAATCAAATCAATCAAATTTACTGCAGGAGTGGAAACCAGTGAAGAGCAGACACTTGACTAATCACTGACCACTGAAGTGACAGGGAGAGGAAATCAGTGGAAACACAAACAGTGCAAAAATACATTCATCTAATAGACAAGCCTAACAGAGCTGTTAATGAATGGATTATCTGTGCGATAAATCTGGACATAAAAACCTGACAAAACAAATGAAACAAAGCGTTTGGCTCTTGGGGCTCAGCACATTGGCAGACTGTCAAGTTTATTTAGCTATTTTGGTTGCGCTCAGCTGTCCCTTTTATGTTCTCCTAGGAATGTCTGCTGCCAACACCATGCCAAGTAATCCTCTTATTTTTAAAAGGGGTATGAGGGGTAAGACAGCGCAAAAGAGGGTCCCAGGGCAAACCGGTGGGAAAGTGCTCATGCGACCAATCACTAAACCTTTGTAGTGATGAGGAAGCAGTACCGAAGCCAGATGTGCTTTCACTTGTCTGGCCTGTTGTTGTTCATTTAACAAGGACATCCTGAAAAACAGGAACAAGAAGTGCATGTTTCCATAAACTACTACTTTATAATCACCTGAAGAACTTGCTTTAAACTTTGCAGGGAGATGCTTTGGCTTTTAAGCAACTTTTCTCAAATGTAACCAAGAACATTTACTCAAGTAGGCTACTATTCTTAGGTACGAACATCATTTGTGAGGACCAGTGAGAAAAATATGCAACGATTTCCAGCAACACCAATTTTAAATTAATCATCTCACAAGGCCTCAGGTTTATCTTGTGACGTTTAGGACGGGGAAGCCACCGGACTAAACCATAAAACTACATATAAAGTAGTTCTATTTCATTCAGCTACAACAGCAAAATGCTGCTTATATACAATCACATTATACAGAAGCTACATGCACAACCTCAGTCACATAGGGCATTTTTCTGCAGGAATACTTTTTATTTTAACACTAAGTTTTTAGATAATATATCTGTACTTAAGTACAAATTTGAATGCAGGACTTTTACCTTCAGTTGAGTATTTTTACACTGTTGAATTGTTTCTTTCACTTAAATAAAGATATGAGTGCTCAAGTTAGTTATTTTGCTTCTATTGATTTTACTTTTTATTTATTTTTTGCTTCATATTCTAAAATGATGACAATGATGACAGTAACAAAGAGCACCACCACTGTGTTGACATAAAAATAACCATAATGATGATGGTTGTGATGATGGTAAAGATGTGTACTACTCGACTGTACAAGTACTACTATTTTTAATTTATCAATGGGTGTTATTTTAAAGTTTCTCAAGCAATCACAGGCAAAATGATAAATACACTTTATTGTAAGTTATGAATGAACTCACATTTGGGGTCATAACCCAGAAATCATTATGAGAGAGCAGAGCAAGAAAAGATTTTTAAGATAAATAGTATAAATAAATATATAAACAATACAGTGAAAGTAGTTGTTTAAACTATGTCTTAAATAATTTGCAGGAAAAAAAAAACATATTCTCCAGTATGGTTTGTTGTGTAAAGAGATGTCTGATCCTTATCAGGAATGAGCCAGACATTTTAATGCCTTTTACATAGTCGGTCCTCCTGCAGAGGCTCCTCTGGCATAATTTCTAAGGGAAAACCCCATTTTTGACCAGAGCATCATTACTTTGTCACAACTTAAAATAAAAAAGCCGAGCTGTGCACATACAGGGTAAAAGCTTCATCAGTTGCTGAGGGTATAGAATGCTTGTATCTCATTCTGTAATGTTGCAATGGACATCACAAACCAAAAATAAAGTCAGCCAGTGGCCGCTGTGCTTCTCTGCAGGCAGATGGAGGTGGATGGAGGGAGGGTGGAGAAACAGGGTCCAGCAGTCCAACATGCATCTATGTCCCGAATGTCCTTATTAGTCCACGTGGGACTGTGAACCTACGGCATGGTCCCTCGGCTATCAGGTTTACTTAATTCCAAGACTCCTGGGTCTATTTTTGATCTCCTGTAAGGTGATACAGTGTCCTGCCATTCAGTCTCCTTCACCTCTGCCATCAGCTCATCCTTGACCCTCCCCTCTCCCTCTCTCTCTTTTTTAATCCCCATCCAAACTTGAGGCTGTGGCTAAAGTTAGATTGGCTGGCAGTGGTGTATATAAGCCCCCGGGGATATACGTATAACGCGGCTTCCCACTGTCCAGTCCTTCTTGATCATCCAAACCTCCACTCAAACCGTCTCAAGATGGTGAGTACCAGGGTTCGCAAATCTCAGCAGTCTGAAGGTGGAAATATCTACAGGGGGAATCAAAGAAACAAACCAACCCTATGGATTAAGTCTGCTTTTAATTTTTTTTTTGTTTTTTGGTCTATGTTTGAAGTAATCAATACAAAAACATGGAAGCATTGCCATCACTTCTAGCAGATCAAGTGGTTTTGAACATTTTTGTGGCTTTTTTTTTTTTTTTTAATTCCTGCAGTTCTTGATGATGTAGTTTTAAGGATGCTTGGGTACTATAGTGTTGGTATTATTAGCATAATGCATGTCAGGTTGCATGCCAACATTTGCATGAAAGGTTAGCAGTTGTATCAAAAGGTTTTAACCAAGCTGAGGGTCACACCTTGTTTGTCACATCTGCTGGTGCTATGACACCCAACCTAGGGGTCAAGGCCTCTCTAGATGGTCACAAATTAAATCAGAGAGGTCACAAGATGATTGACAAGACAGCGAATAAAAAATATATCTTTCTGTTACACAAAGTTTACATACATCCTTAAGCTATTTCAAATGAAGAATCACTCTTTTCAGTGGATATATGCAAGCAGACAATTCTTAATACATAAGCCACTAACCCCGTGAACTACCACCTGTACAGTAGTAGCATGCTTTTTAGTTTAGTCTAAAGCTGACTGACTTAACTGGTGATTTCACCCCTGTGTTTGTCCTCCAGGCACCAAAGAGAGCCAAGAGGAGGGCAGGAGGAGGAGACAGCTCCAATGTGTTCTCTATGTTTGAGCAGAGCCAGATTCAAGAGTACAAAGAGGTGAGGTTTGTCTGACCACACAGAGACACTCCATCTCTACAGGAAGCTTTTTTTTCCCTACGGCATTGTTCACGGCAGCCTCAGGAAGCATTAGACATCTGTATTACCTCTGGTTAGCTGATAAAGATATGTAAAGAACCTCCGATTCTGAATTAAACCTGGTGGGATTTCATTTGAAATTCTCAGAGACTGTAAGCCAAATTAGGATTTGGGATCCATTCCTAGAGCAGTTGCTATTTTGCCTGTGCCCCAAGCCCCCACCCCTTCTCCTCTGAGAGTTAAATAAGCACGAGAATGTCATTAGGAGGAGCTCTGAAATGTCTGACACCATCTGAAGCTCTTCAAATTTTGTTCACCTCTGACCTCAACCCAGCTGTCACACAGATGTCTCCTTAAATCGTTTACTAAAGGCTGGCAGGCATTGCAGAACAACTGCACAGGTGTGTTAGAAAGCAGAAAAGAGAAAGAAAAGCATCTTACTGCTTTTTTTTTTTTTTTTTTTCAATTTTTATTTTTTTGACACGCCTAGTGGCTATGGGGAGGCGACAGTGTGGTGGGTAGAGCAGTCATCTCCCACCCAAAAGGTTGAAGGTTCAAATCTCAGTGCCTCTGCAGTCCACGTATCAAAGTATCCTTGGGCAAGACACTGAACATGTTGCCCCCAATGGTTAGAGCCATTAGTTGAGTTGGCATCGCAGATGGCTGCCATCAGTTCTGTACTGGAAACAAATTCCTTGTGTGTAACATACTTGGCCAATAAAGGTGATTATCCATTTTAAAAGTACTGTTAAAAATGGGTTGATGAGCTCAGAGACAAAGTGCAGTGTGCAGGGGTGTGTGCTGGACTTCAGTAAGGTCAGGGAGCTGAGATTTTATATGGACATGGTGTCAGGAGATCGGATAATGATGGCGTGTGCGTCTTCGTTGTCAAAGGATATGTGCTGTGAATAGAGGAAACATTCCTCCTGCGATAAGTGATACAGGCTTCTTGAGTGCCACAGAGGGAACGTATGACCTGATGAGTAGGATGATCTGTGCAGAAGGGAAAAAAAAGCAGCCAGGGGGCTGTTAAAGCAAGGAGACGGTAGGAATGTGTGTGTGTGTGTGTGTGTGTGTGAGAGAGAGAGAGAGAGAGAGAGAGAGGGAGAGAGAGGGAGAGA